CAAATGAACCTCATTGTAAGCAGAGATTGACGGTAACGCGTTACTGTAATCCGATGACTTTTTTCAAGTAACGAGTAAATTAAAGCAGTACGATTGCAAAAAAAGCAAGTAGATTACTTTTACTTTCCCATAAGCACGCTGTGTTACCGCGTTACTAAAACTTTACATGCTGGAATATGCAGAAAATAGGTTTAAAAGTTAAACACATTTCTTCAAGTCAAACACTCTTGCATATAATTTAATTTTTGCTTGGTGCAATGTGCATAAAGTTAAAAAATTAAAATGAATAAAACAAGTTTTAAAAGAGACTTTTTCATTTGATTCGATTTTATAAAATGAAATATTCAGAAAAAATCGAACGGGGCTGATAGGCTTATTGTTTTATAATGTATTGTTGTGTATTGTGTTTTTAAAAGTAACTAAAAGTACTACTAAAGTAACTCATTACTTTTGAAAATAACAAATCAGTAAAGTAATGGGATTACCTTCATGGAGAAGTGATCAGTAATTAGTAACTAATTATTATTTGCAAGTAACTTGACCGACACTAGTTGTAAGCAATAAATAATACTCTCATGACCACAAATGAGGTGAGTATAAAGTATGAAGAGTAATTTAGGAAAGATCATTTGAAGGTACAACACATATTTCCTGAGCAATATGGTCACAAACCAACAGTGTTTTGTTCGTGACCATACATTGTCTGAAAGAAGATTGCAAATAACATTCCTGGAAAAGCTGTGCTTTAAGGCTTGAATATGTTAACTTCCGCCTGGCTCACCAAAGTGTTGATAAATCTCTCTTTGAAACTCATTTTATCCGTGTATCCAGTGAAAAAGCGAGGAACGTATGAGGGCGGAGATGGGCAGCCAGCAGACTTCATGTCCAAGTTACACGGTATTCCTCTCAGCAGATTGACAGTAGGGAGACCTGGAAGTGATTGAGTAATGATAGGTGAGAAAATGTGCAGGTGTACAAGCAAACAGATAACCTGAGTGCAGAGGAGCTCACCTAATTTCCGAGCTACTAATGAGCCCGTGGGAAGCATGGGATCTGTCAAGACGGCATCAAAGTCCTATAAAGTTAAACATGGGGAAGGTGGAAAAGCAGAGAGGAGTCAATCTTCCACTGTGTGTCAGCACTACACTGTCTTGCATACATGGTTCACACATGGAGGATTTTACAGATTGTAG